GGGAGGGAGGAGGGAGCAGGGAGCCTGCGGCGCCCGAGCGGCTCTGAAATCCGCTGCGCTCGGAGAATCCTTTTCCTTCCTTCCTTCTACACGTGCCCTCGGGTGTGCGGTTGAGTCGCGCAGCTCAAAGGTTCGGTTTCCGACGTGGTTTGAGCAGAGCTCGTCGTTGCTGCGGTCAGTGGTTTCGGGCTGACACGTGCGGGGAAAGGCGCTTCGGAGAGTGGGTTCGTAGTGGTTAAGGGGCAGGTGGGGAAGGTGTGCTCCTCTTAGAGGAGGTGACAGTACCTGTGCTTTCAGCCCGTGGTTTGGGGGGCAGAGGTTGCCAAGGGATTGGTTTGAGCTGTGGCAGAAATTTGGGTGAGGAGGAGAAACTGCTGGAGATCATAGAATCATCATAGAATCAACCTGGTTGGAAAAGACCTCCAAGATCATCAAGTCCAACCCTACTGTGGTCACTAGACCATGGCACTAAGTGCCACATCCAGTCTCAGCTTGAAAACCTCCAGGGATGGTGAATCTACCACCTCCCTGGGCAGCACATTCCAATGCCTGAGCACTCTCTCCCTAAAAAATCTCTTCCTAATATCCAACCTAACCCTCCCTGGCAGAGCTTGAGTCTGTGCCCTCTTGTCCTGCTGCTGGTTGCCTGGGAGAAGAGACCAACCCCCACCTGACTCCAACCTCCTGTCAGGGAGTTGCAGAGGGTGATAAGGTCTCCCCTGAGCCTCCCCCAGGCTGAACAACAGTAATATAATCCTTCTCTGAATTATCATCATCACAAAGTTTTCTTGACCTGAGCAGTATGGTATGTTCTGGACTGGCTGTTTCACCTGTGTTATTTAACAGGCTGTAGTTCTCCTGCTTTTGGTTTGCTGAAGGTTATGACTGTGCCTTGGGGATGGCATTGACTGCTGTTCCTGCTAGCCGGAAGCAAAGCTGTGACATGGCCTCAAAGCAAACTTTACATGCTTTAGCTGAACAGCAGGCACAGCAGTAAATGTGCAGGAAGACCCATAGCTTGAAGGAAGGGAAATCTATACTTTGATGTCAAATCTGTGCTTTGATGCAGTAAAATGGGAAGCTAATGATGTGCAGTGGTTTCTTCACGCTTTGCTTTAAGGGCATGTGTGGATTATCTTGATATTGTCTTCATTTGTTGATACTCTATTTGTGTAATTGCAACTCTTCCTTTTTGTTTTTTTTTTTTCCCACAAAAGCAGCTGGAAAGCATTTGTGTCCAAGTTCAGCCAGGACAGATGAAGGAAACTGAAAGGCCAATGCCATCACTGGCACCAGTCCAGTCCAAAACCATAATGCTGAGTCAGCCAGTTGGTAGGAATTCCGGCATACCAGGACTTGGCATTATTAATCCCCAGATAATTAGGATACAGCCTGTTTCAGGAACTGAGCAGCAGCAGCAGCTATTCCTGCAGAGTTCTTCCGAGTCTCCAGTTCAGCTGCTGATGCAGAGACCTTTACCCTCTCCTGGATCAGTGTCTGTGAACAAGACTCGCACATCCAAGATGGTAAATGGGCAGAAAGCTGCTCGGGCCAGAGCTTCAAGGTCTTCAAGTGCCACCACGGCTGCAGCCAGCTCAGCAAATACACCATGCCTTGAGAAAAAGACAAAGGATGACAAGTTAAAGAAGTCCTTGAAAGTGAAAACTCGTTCTGGACGGATTTCACGGCCCCCCAAGTACAAAGCTAAAGATTATAAGTTCATTAAAATGGAGGATTTGGCTGATGGTCACCAGTCTGATTCTGATGACTACTCTGAGCTGAGTATAGAAGATGATGAAGAAGGAAAGGTGAAAGGAAAGGATGCATTATTCAGCTCTTCAAATTATAATCTGAAACCCAAAATGTTTAAGTGTCAGACATGTGAAAAATCTTATATAGGAAAAGGAGGATTAGCAAGGCATTATAAACTTAACCCAAGCCATGGACAGCTGGAGTCATCACCTCAAAAAGTACCTCTAAATAAGCCTAATGGAAGTGTATTTGTGGACAGTGCCTGTGGAATAAGAGAGGAAATGATGAGTCCAGCACATTTGGATTCAACTGCTGTCACCTTAAATCAGGAGAGTGCACTAGCTACCAGCCTGGAAGAAACTGTTGATTCAAAGGCTGGAGAACAGGTAAAGTGTTACTTAGCAGAGCTGTCAGGTCTGTGGAGAGCAGAATGGCAGTTCTGTAGCTGCAGAGCCTTGTACTGCTCAGAAATATCCAATACACTAAACAGATTCTAAGAATCAAATTCCAGTCTCCTGCAGTGCTGCAGGAAGAATCTCTTGCCCAGACACACAGAACAAAAGTGCTCGTTTGTTCCTGGGTTTCTGATGTGCAGTTTTCACTTTGTCTGTGTAAATGGCATTCTTCAACACTTGTGTAGTCACAGCCTTTAGCATGACAGCAAAGCATCATCTGCTCCCTCATTTTCTGTTACTGCAGCAGTGTCATCCCAGAAAAATATCTTCCTTTTAATCCAGCAGTGGACTGCAGCTTTTCCTAGAGCAGCTTTTCAGAGTGTGGCTTAGCTACCCCTGTACACCAAACACTGGTGGAACTGGAGGCTCTAGGCTGGAAGCTACTTCAGCTGCAGATTTTTGTCTGTGATGTTTTAAGATGATCACTTCAAAGAAAAGTTTCTCTTTTAATATTTAAATGACTCTTGGCATTTTGCAGCAAGAGCTGATGCAGCTGCTGTCTAGGAAAAAGTACTTGTTTAGATGTAGGGGCGTCACATTTACTGCTTTTTATTTGTAACTGTGAAGTTGTTCTCAGGAGAGTGAAAATTTACAGCTTAAGAAAGCAGCGAAGAAACCTCCTTTCAGCCTCTACACTCATCTATCTTTGGAGAAAGAGAACTGCAGAATACTCAAGTCTGTTCTATGTATTATGATGTGGTTGTCACTTCCCTGTGCTGCACTTACTTCACCCAGGACCATGAGGATTTAGGGATGATTTAGTAAGTCTTGTATATTATCCTACTCCTGACTCTTAGATTGCTCTTGTACCTGCTGCTTTTAACTAGCAGGTGTGGATTCTTCAGGTTTGCTCTTTAACCCATTGATGTGTTGGAGGTTTTGGCCAGGGAAATAACTTCCTAGAAAGAAGAGCAGGAGTATTAAAGCTGCTACATTGATATGGACAGGAAGCCAATCAAGATCTCCACACTCAGCATGGTCTTACGTCAGACTTAGAACTAATTTAGTGATTTAATCCCTGGACAGAACTGACACAAATTTGCCATTTTTAGAGTTTTCCTAATCAGTAGAATTGTAGGGAGCTACTGAGCATTGGGATGAAAATGCACAGATTGGGCAAAGAAGGCTGATACAGCTCAGTACTCTCATAAACTCCTTGCTTGAAGGATGCTGGAACATTCTTAGACACTCTAGCTTAGAAGGGAAGATGTGTTCAGTAACAAATCACTGCTTTGAATAGTAAAAAACAGTGCATTGGAATCACAACGATCACTTAAAAATAGCAAAAGGACTTTGAGTTTTTGTGTGGTCTTAAAACAGAAGCTGCTTCTTAGCTGTGTTCCTAGGGAAGGCTATGGATTGTGAAACATAGAAACTGGGCAAAATATTTTGATATTTAGTTACTGTTTGTGGCTTCAGAGTTTGTGTTGTTCATGTAAAGTGCTTTGACATGGTTATAGTGAAACTCAAATTATTATTTGGATATGTTTTACTGCTAATTCAGTTTTATTTCTGCAGTCTCTTTATTTGAAGTGGATGTATTTTACTTCCAGAATATTAGTCATAGAACCGTCAGGGTTGGAGGAGACCTCTAAGATCATCAAGTCCAACCATTAACCTGTCACTGCTGGAACCCCTAAACCCTAAACCAGATCCTCCAGTGTCAGATCCTGATGCCTCTTAAACACTTCCAGGGATGGTGACTCCACCACCTCCCTGGGCAATATCCCAGTGCCTCAACACCCTAACAAGGAAAATATTTTCTCTAACATCTCATCTGACTCTCATATTAAGTGTACTTAACTGCCTTAAAACAGCTCTTTAATTGTATTCCCTTAATCTCTCTATTTTGTATGACATTTTGTAGCCCAAAAATGCTAATTTTGGAAGGAATGGCACAGATATCTATGATGCAGAAGCAGCAGTGCTGGATTTATTCCACAACTCCCTGCAGTTACGTTTGTGTCCAGCTTTGCATTTTTTAACCCTCTACTTATTGTTTGTTTCATTATAAAATGTCTTCTTCAAAACAGTGTCTAAAATGGTGAATAAATATTTTCTCCTTCTTTTAACTCAGATTTCTAAGCCTGAGGACAGCAGGCAGTTGCTGGCAGAGCAGCAAAACGAAAGCAGTTCGGGACAGCGAGGTCCAGTGACCCCCAAAGGCCCTGGAAGGCCCCGGCGGCCGAGGAGACGTGGTCGGCCAAGGATGGGTGGAAGATCCAGGTGTTCTGGAAGGCTGAGCAGACCTGGTCAGTCCCCTTCAAAGTCACTTAGTAGTGTGTCAGCAGAGCACAATGTATTCAGAAGAAAAGCTAGGTTAAAAGAGGTATGGTTCTCTTCTGCAATTACTTCACAAGTATCTTCTCCCTGCCCTCTTTTCCCCCCCCCCCTTTTTTTGTCTTTAAATCACTTGTTTCAACTGAATCGTTTTCAAAAAGATTGATTTTTTTTCAATTCTTTTTTTTTTAACATCCTTGTGTACTGACAAGATGAAAGCCTAAGATGTCTTCTAAGAAGAAAACATTAAGTTGCCTTTTAAGAAACAAATACCTCCAACAGAATGCTGGAAAAAGGGAAGATGGGAACTCAGTCTGGAAAGGGATTTTTGACATGTAGATATACTCTTGTTATCCTTTATAATATCTACTATCATGTATCTCCTCCAACACAGTAAAAGGAATAAACCAAACTGAAGCTGAGCAACATCAAAAAGAGACAACCAAACCAAACCCACAAAGGTCTTGGGGGAGGATAGGATGGGATTAAAATCCATGAAGCTAACACAATTTGTTCTTTGTTTCCTGGGTGTTGTAGATCCTTTATGGCTCCTAAAGCTACTGATGTTGCTGTTATTTCTGTGAATTAGCAGCAGTTTTGTCTGTAGATGAGTTCATAACTGTTCTGAGGATTTCTAAATTCCCTGTTTTGGTGTTAGGTTTGCAGCTGTTCTCACCTACGAGATAAGAAGGGTATCAATGGAAAAAGTAGTGATGTTTTCTGTTCTGAAAAGGGGATGCATAACCCGTGGGCTGCTCTTTCCTGATCAGCTCTCTCTGGCTTTTGACAGCTGATACAACAGTGTGATAATGAGGACTTTATGGAACTGGCTCTCCCACGCCTCACAAAGCTTGTTACAGTGTATGAATTCCTGTTGATGAAGGTGAGTTTTTATGTAAAAATGGTACATTATTTTAGGGACACTTAGTATACATAAAAAGATTTCTTTAGAGACATCACTGAATTTCCTAATTCAACACACAGATGTTCCACACATCACTTCAGCCTTATGCAGGCAGAACTCTGGTAGGTCTCAGCTGAAAGCTTTGCATTTTGCTGCCTGGTTCAGTGGCATTTTTGAATATTCCAGCATCTTTTGACTTGAATGTGTCTGTGTACTGTGCCCAAGGACACTGAAGTGCTGGAGCAGGTCCAGAGAAGGGCAACAGAGCTGGTGAAGGGACTGGAGCACAAGTGCCATGAGGAGAGGCTGAGGGAGCTGGGGGTGTTCAGCCTGGAGAAGAGGAGGCTCAGAGGAGACCTTATCACCCTCTGCAACTCCCTGACAGGAGGTTGGAGTCAGGTGGGGGTTGGTCTCTTCTCCCAGGCAACTAGCTACAGAACAAGAGGACATACATAGCCTCAAGCCACACCAGGAAAGCTTCAGGTTAGTCATTAGGAGGAATTTCTTCCAAGAAAGGGTGATTAGACACTGGAATGTGCTGCCCAGGGAGGTGGTGAATTCACCATCCCTGGAGCGATTTAAAGAGAAACTGAACTGCAGTGACAGGACAAGGGGAAATGGGTTCAAACTGAAGGAGGGGAAGTTTAGGTTAGATATTAGAAAAAAAGTTTTTTACTCTAAGGCTGGTGAGACACTGCACAGGTTGCCCAGGGATGTAGTGGCTGCCCCAACCCTGGCAGTGTTCACAGCCAGGTTGGAAGAGCCTTGAGCAACCTGCTCTGGTGGGAGGTGTCCCTGCCCAGGGCAGGGGTTGGGGCTGGATGATCTCTAAGCTCCATTCCAACCCTTAAACTCTGTTTCTATGATTCTATGTACATAGCACTTCATGCCATGGCCTAGTTGACATGTTGGTGTTAGGTCATAGGTTGGACTCTGATCTCAGAGGTCTTTTCCAACCTGATTGATTCTGTGATTCTATTTTAAACTGTTGAACAAAACAAACTTGACAGATTTTCATTTTTTAAAACACAGGGTGAAAAAAACCTTTTTTCTTTCCCCTCTTACTTCTAGGTTGAAAAAGGCTATCCAGCCAAAGCTTACTTCCCAGATGTGTACAGGGAATTTGAAGACTTGCATAAGATGGTAAAGAAAATGGCTTATGATCACCTCAGTAGTTCTGACTCTGTGAGTTGCCAGCAGCCTGTTGAAATAAAAGATGCTAAGGTAATACAGCACTCTGTTTGGAACTATGATTTCTTTGTTTAATGGACTTTAATTGACTAAATGTTACTTTAATTTACTTAATTCTTACTGATTAATTATTTACTTCATGATTTCTGATCAGCTTCATTGGGCTGGTAAATTTATTAGAAGAAAACATGATTTTGTGATTAGCAAAAATAGACATTATTGTCAGAAGTCCAGCAACTAACCAAAGAGAAAAAGAGATCCATTAATAAATCTACAATTCCAGTTTATGTCAGTGGATACAACTAGAAATAACAATTCTAGCAGTGCTGATCCCTGCCTTGCATATCTAGGGTAGTATGGAGCTGCATGTTGCTGCAAGCCTTAACTGCTAATAAAAGTACATCCTGATGTTTGATCAGGAAGGAAAGGTCTATATTTAAAAGGAGTGACCTTGATTCAAAGGGCTAAGTAGTTTCATTGCAAAATGAGGACAAACTGAATGCATCTGTGCAGTTCCCATTCATGCTAACAAGTGTAAAAGGTAGTGAATATGTTATAAAACCAAACTATTACTTCAGTGGCTCTTCAGGTTGATTGTTTATGGAGCTGTATCTGGAAAGACATATGGGACCTCTTTCTTGCTTCTCTTCTGTGCTAATGTGCAGTCTTAATACAGAATGCTGCACTTTGAAAAACAAGGCCAAACCCAAACCAACCCAGCCCTGAGAAGTTGGGTAGCAGCACACCTACCTAAGGATGAAGCACAGGAATGGAATGTCAGGGGGGGAACAAAATCCTTAACTACTCAGAGATCCTCCAAATAGGAAGACTTAAATGTTCTTTATGTGATGTGGAGAACCTCAACAATCTTCTTTATTAAGCTCTGCTCTGGGTTCTATATATAACCATTGCACTCCTAATTCTTTCGAGTTTGCCTGTTAATAGTCACCTTCAAATGAAGGTCGTGTTGTAGCAGTGTGGAGACTAGGAGAAAACACAAGAACCTAAATACTTGCACTGAGCTGTGATGATTGTCAGAATAAATACTCTGTAGGTCTAGATCAGTTTTAAGAAAGTTAAACTGTGTTCAGAAAGCCAATGGAATCCTGGGCTGAATCCACAGGAATGTGGGCAGCAGGTCAAAAGAGGTGATTCTTCCCCTCTGCTCTTGTGAGACCCACCTGGAATACTGCAAACAGTTCTGGTGCCCTCAGCATAACAAGGACATGGAACTGTTGGAGCAAATCCAGAGGAGGCTATGAAGCTGCTAAGAGCACTGGAGCATCTCCCCTGTGAGGACAGGCTGAAGGAGTTGGGGCTGTTCAGCTTGGAGAAGAGAAGGTTGTGTGGAAACCTCATAAGGGTAATGAGTTCAAACTGAAGGAGGGAAGATCTAGGTTGGATGTGAGAAAAAAAGTTTTTTACTCTAAGGGTGGTGAGACACTGTCCCAGATTGCCCAGGGAGGCTGTGGCTGCCCCAACCCTGGCAGTGTTCACAGCCAGGTTGGCTGAGTCTTGAGCAACCTGCTCTGGTGGGAGGTGTCCCTGCCCAGGGCAGGGGTTGGGGCTGGATGATCTCTAAGCTCCATTCCAACCCTTAAACTCTGTGATTCTATGATTTCAGCAGTTATGTGTTGATTTGAGAGGTTATGTTTTACTCTTTTCTATCTGTTTTTAAAGGTTGCTGAATCACTCGGAATTACAGAAATACTCTGTGGAGAAGGAAAGCCACAAGGTGCAAACTGTTGTTCACAACGTGAAGTTAAAATGGTTAGTGAGCAAGTACCTGTGGAGATCCTGGGACAGAAACGCTTAGCTGAGGTATGGAGACCTTTGTGACCGCGACAAATGAAACGAAGACAAATGAAAACTTGTTCAAAGGAGGATTATTCCTTACAAACTCATACTGGTAGTATCTGACTCATGTTAAAGTAAGGCTTTTGTGATGTTTCTCAATGTAGTATCATAGCAGAGCACATGAACTAGCACACTAAATATGTACTGTGGGAGGACAGAATCTCAAAGGCTTACAGGTAATGCCATGACATGGAGATGTAAGAATTTTGTGGAGGTATTAGTCACTTGTGTTGGAGGAAATGGCCTAACCTACAGCAGGCTCAGATGTTGAAGTGGTTGCTCTGCTAATCACTGGTAGATAGAAGGGCACAAAACCAGTTTCTTTCTGACAAGTCAGTTGACCACCTAGAGGCTGTTTACAGAGCTGTGTTTCCTCTTCTTGGGAGTCACATCTCCATGGTCTGTGCCCTTATCTGATCTCCTTTTTATTTAATCCAGAGTTGTTTGTGGTGGTGGATAAATACTACTAGTGTTTCTTTCATTTTCTGCGGTTAAATTTTTCTGTGGTTAAATTTAAGAGCTGCTGATGTTCTCTTCAGTAAGCAAACAAAGCTGGGCAGGCTGTGCACAGCCTGTATTGACACTGGACAGAGCTTATAGCAGGTTTTGTGGGTCCAGCTAAACACAGAGGCTCAGGGAGGTGCTTTAATGTTGAAGCAAAGGCAGATTGTTTAACCAAGTATCCAAAATCCAAGCTGGCATTTTGGCAAAGTGTGAGGGCCAAATCCTTACCTTTCTGTGTGTTTAAATCCTTACCTTTATGAGGACCTTTAGTGTAAATCCTGTTCTCAGGCATGATTAGTTCACTGCCAAAAGTGCCCACAGTTAGTTTGTGATCTTTTCCAATGTTGTCAACTGTTCTGGTGGCAGCCACTTAATTCTCTCTTGTACTGGCAGAGCTCAGGGGAGGAACTGTTGCCACCAGCCAAAAGGACCAAGGTGGAAGACGTGATGGAGGATGTGAATAATGCTTATGCCAGTCAAGGTGAAGTGAAAGAGAAGAGTGGGAATTTGTGTGCACTCTTTGAAAAAGATGGTAACCTCTTCGGATTTTCCTAGTCTGTTCTGTTGGTGGAGGAGCTGAGCACAGCTCTTTGTTCTTCAGCCTACTGTGGGTTTTATCTTAAAGTTTCATTCCTTAAGTTGGTTCCCAAGTCCTTCAAAAGCAGCTGTTTAACTGGGAAGGCCTCATGATAGGGGGAAGGTTATGGATGATGCAGACCACAGCAGTAGCTCAATTCTGGATGCATGACAATCCAGTTACTGATACTACTGCAGTACTGTGAGCACAGAACTGTCCTGCTGTGTGCTCCCTGAATGCTTCCTGTCCCTCATGGTGAACACAGGGCATGACCATTTTGTCAGCTGTGGGAGAGTAGAGGAAGAGGAAGGAGAGTGTGTGTCCTTCCTCTTTGGCCAGCAGGCTGCAATAGCAGAATTAGCAGAGTTCTGTGGATCCTGGGGGAGGGAGAGAGCTGGTGCAGACTGTCTTGTATCCCTATTGGAATACATCCTCTGTTGGAATTGGGGTGCCATTTTCACAGAGTAATCAGAGCTGGAAGGGACCCTTGAGGATCATCCAGTCCAACTCCTGCCCTGCACAGACATCCCTGACAATCACACCCTGTGCCTGAGAGCATTGGCCAAACACCTCTGGAGCTCTGTCAGCCTTGGGGCTGTGACACTGCCCTGGGGAGCTGTTCAGTGCCCAAACTCCTCTGGGGAAAGAAGAACCAGTTGCTAATCTCCAGCCTAACCCTCCCCTGACACAACTTCAGCCCATTCCCTGGGTCCTGTCCCTGGTCCCAGAGAGAAGAGGTCAGAGCTGTCCCTGCACTTCCTTCCCTGAGGAAGTTGTATCCAGCCATGAGTTCTGTCCTCAGTCTCCTCCAGGCTGAACACACCAAGGACCTCAGCCACTCCTCATGTGGCTTCCACTCAAGGCCCTTCATCACTTTCATTGCCCTCCTTTTGCTCCATACTCTTTGGGTGGTTGCCTTTCTTTTTATCCCATCTTTCTCTTCCATTCCCAGCCCCTCAGACTGGCAGGGTAACAGTGAAAGGAAAGTAAATCTCTAGTAAGATGTGTCTATCAGTACCATCCTCCTTGTAAATCTGTCTTTTTGGTGTTGCTGGAACTGGCTTTTCTCTTGCCCTTTGCATGTCTTTAATGGTTGTAGTTTTGTTTCCCCCTTTAGTTTGTTTTTCTTTCTCTGAAAGGCATGACAACATGTATTTCCCAGAGAGGGACTGTGTTAGCTGCAGGGACAGGACAAGGGGCAATGGGTACAAATTGAAAGAGAGAAATTTAGGCTAGATATTAGGAAAAAGTTTTCCCTGTGAAGGTGGTGAGACACTGGCCCAGATTGCCCAGGGAGACTGTGGCTGCCCCAACCCTGGCAGTGTTCACAGCCAGGTTGGATGAGCCTTGAGCAACCTGCTCTGGTGGGAGGTGTCCCTGCCCAGGGCAGGGGTTGGGGCTGGATGATCTCAAAGCTCCATTCCAACCCCTAAAATTCTATGATTTCTTGCTGTACTATGCTTTTCTGCTGGCTATAAGTTCTTCAAACTTTGCTTCACTGCACTTACTAGCAGGGCTTTGGCTAGTTAAAAATAGTCCCTTCTGCACTCCTAGGCCTCCTTTGTTGTGCACTGATATCTTTCTAACAACAAAAATAACCCTAAACCAACCTACTTGTTCCTTTGGGCCTTCACTAATAAAAACTGACAGGTCATACTACTGCAGCTTAGTAGTTCTTGTTCACCTACCTGCAGGGTTTGTGACCTGGCTCTTGATCCAGGTCAAGTAACTGGTAAAACTCTGCATTTCTTGTGGTTTTTACCTTTCCTATCACAGGACCAAAGTGCTGCTGGGACTGTTAGCACAGCTCATTAGGTAGGTAGAAACCTGATGACATGTCTGAGCCCAGGTGATTATCAACAGGAATTTTATCAAGTTTAAATGCTTCTGTCAACTGAGTAATGGTGATGGGGATGAGCAGCTGACAAGGTTGTGCCTGGTAAAGTCTTTATCTTATAATGTTATTGGCTGTGTGACAAATGGAAGAATATTGAGTTTGACTTTCAGCCCAGGTTGTTTTCAGGATTAACAGAGAAAATGCTGCTTTTTAATGTAAGTTCTCTTGGTACAGAAATACTCAATGATGCTTCACTATCCAAAAAATTCCTTAAGAATTTTTACACTGGCTTTCTCATTGGGAAGTGCTATGAAACATGTGAGGTGCTTCAGGTTGGCTAATTTTGGGGAAGAAAGCATAGAAGTGGTTTAGCTTTTCCCCCCAAATTATTGCTGAAAAAGAATTGTTTGGTCATGCAGTATTAGGTTTCCCCACAAAATTCTATTTCTTTCTCATTTTCAGGTTTCAATCCATTAAATGGAGAAATCCTGCTGCCAGAGGATGCTTGCTGCACAGCTGGAAGTCCATTACCCACAGCAGAGGAACATAGTGCCCTTGGGGATTCAGGAGTTAGAATGGATGCTGCAAATTCAGGGACCTTCTCCCAGCCAGTGGAAATGAGGATAGAGTATTCCCAACCTGTGAACATCCAGGGGGCAGACATGGAAGGTGATGCATCCCTGCTGCACACTGAGGTTGTGCTGCCTGTGGGAGCAGAAGGCTCACCTGGATTGGTCCAAGGGCACTTTGTGAGTGAGGATGCAGCTCCTCAACTTGGCAGCTCCATGTCAGAGCAAGCACTGGGCAGTCAGAGCCCTGACTCACCAACCAGTGGAGAAAACAGTCACAATCCAAACTATCAGGAATTGCAAGAAGAAAACCCTAACTTTGCCATTAAAGAACACTCTGAGCAACTCGATAATGCTGCTATGACTGAGGAGCTGCAGGAACTTGAGAAGGTTTTCTCAACAGACATTGTGCCAATGAACTACCCCCACAGTGCTCAGCCTGAGCCACACCAGGATGTTGTGCAAGGAGCCTCCCTGGCTGCTCCTGGGAGCCAGGGAACTGCTTTTAAAACCGGGAGTGAGTTTTCCTGTGGGACGGAGGGAGCAGAGGAGCTGGCGAACGCAGTGAGTGTGGATCAAACTGTAGCTTTTGAGATTTCTGAGGAGAGCCATGATTTTTTGTCTCAGGGACACGACCAGATTTTTATCCAGACTTCAGATGGGCTAATCCTGTCCCATCCAGATGCTGCTGTTTTGTCTCGGGCCGAAGGCATCGTCATTGTCACCGATGCCAACGGCACCACCATGCACATTCGCACTCCCGAGGGGATACCTCTGGAGACTGTGGAAGCACTGCTGGCAATGGAAGCAGATGGCCAAAGTGAAGATATTTTGCTCTAGCAGAGTGAATTTGAGCCATAAATTTAGCAAAACCCTCTAAAGCTTTCTTCTGGGAAAGACTGATTCTAAAAATGTATATTTTTCTAATGTGAAGACTGAGAGAATTGAAATTTAACTTATTTGTAAACTGTTTCTATTGCCCTGTACTTTTTTATAACTTATGTTTCTATAAATCTAGCAGCATTGCAACCAAAAATTCTAGGATTAACAGCGTTCTCTTTGCTTTTTATGTTGGGGATGGGTGGAAAGTGGAAATCTGTCAACCCTAAAACTGTTGCACTGTTCCCTTTTTTTTTTTTTTGGTTACATAATTCCTTTTCTCTCTAGCCATCTGAAAATGCAGTAAGTTGTACTGCTGCTCAGCAGTGATGTGCTGTGTACTGGCAAGCTGTGTATGGGTAAAAATAAAAGCTATATTAAAAATGTGCATTTTCTGTTCCACTGAGATTAAAAACCCCACTTTGTTATTGCACTTTTTTCAAAGCTAGCTTGAATATTCAGTAGCATCTAGACTGGATGTGCATAAATCTGCCTGGAAAATGGGCAGTTTTAAATATAATCCACACTTGTGCATTCCAGGAACAAAGTGACAGCCTAGCTGATCCTCACTGAAATAACCATCCACTGAGCTGGAGACAAAAATAGCCTCAAACAAGCACTGATTTGTACTGAACTGTTGGGAATGTGTTTAAGTTGCTTGTCCAATGTTCAGCCACACTTTTAGAAACTGCTGTTACTTAGGCATAAATGGGAAGGTGCATCACAGTGATCTGATTTTCCTTAATGAGGCACCAAATTCTTTTTTACTTTAGTCTGTGGTGGCCTAATTTTTTGTTGAAACTTGTATTACACTCTTTTCTTTCAGGTCATGCATCCTTTATGAGTTCTATGCCTTGACCCTCCTAGTAACTCCACACTGCCTTGTACTGTTGAATCATAACACAAAGGTATCCTTGGCTATAACCCTTGTTTCTCTAGGCAGCCAGAAAACTTGGCAAATCACTTACCAAGGGCTATTTTGTATTTCATGCTTTCAGTTCCTTAGATGATAATTTTGTGGTTGCCTCCTAGCATCTTCTTGTCCAAGGCACTGTTTTCTTTCAAGCAGCTTAGAAGGTGAAAAAGAACAGCCTTAAATGAACAGACATGACTGAAAACTGGTAACACATCCTTAAAATGTGTGTTGCCTCATTGCTGAACAGATGAGGTTACTCAGATAACTGGATAAATCTGCTGAAAGGACCTGGGGGTGTTTAGACTGAAGCAAAGGAGGCTCAGGGGAGACCTTATCACTCTACTACTACCTGAAAGGAGGTTGTGATGAGGTGGGGGTTGGTCTCTTTTCCCAGGAAACAAGTGACAGGGGGAGAGGAAATAGCCTCAAGTTGTGTCAGGGGAAAGGGTGGAGTCACCATTGCTGGAAATGTTCAAAAAACGTGTGGATGTGGCACTTGGGGACATGGTTTAGCGGTGAACATGGTGGTGGTGCTGGTTGAACGTGATGACCTTAAAGGTCTTTTCCAACCTTAACAATTCTATGATCTGCAGAACCAAGTATGAACACTGATTTTTTTCATGGTGGTGTTACTGAAGAAGAACTTAGATTTAAAACTGAATATAAAGAGATGAAATAATGTGCTTTACTATGTCCCTTGACCATAGTTGGGTTTGGGTTTTTTGGTTAGTTGGTTTTTCTCTTGGTTGCCCAAGCAGAAGGTGAATTTGATCAGCCAAAACACTGCTTTTTGCATGTGGTTGTGACAGATGTGGTGTGTTACTGAGCTTCTGTCTGGTGGTTGGGTTTATGCTGTAGTCTTTGTTTTGGGTTTTTCCCCGTTTTTTTAGGAGATGGCACTGGTCAGAGGATACAGACCTACCTTGAAGGGAAGGCAGTATACAAAACAGGGTTCTGCTGGTCTCACAAAGTCCTTGATTGCAGTGATCAATTCTTTATTACACTCTGTTGTACTGACTGTCCAATAACTACATCTGAGGGCTTCAAATATAACAATCAACTGCTTAGAGCTGGAATGACTAAACATCTCTGCTATGATTTTGCACTGATCTTCCTGTGTCCAACAGCAGGCAATAAACAAGGGGGGCTGGGAATATGAAGACCCTTCCTGAAGAGCTTATCTCCTCTAAGAAACAAGAACAACCTACAATTTCCACCTGTGCAGAAAATGAAAATTTGCTTCAATTCTGCCTCCCCTATTGATTTGCACATGCTGGGAAATACAATAAACCTCTTCTCATCTGGAAAGAACAATTCTATATGTGAACCAACCTCTTGTCCCTGGAAATATTTTTGAAACATGAAGGTGTTTCCATAGTGACACAGGTCTGGCCCTCCTCAGATAAATTAAGGTGGCTGTTCAACTAGGTGGAACACTTGCACAGAGAAATAACAAAACCCATCAAAGCTGTTCCTAACCGATTGTATTCTCCTTGAGCTACAGCACAATTTCTTTTTTAGATGCCAGAATTTTGGGCTAAGAATAGAACTTGATTCGCTGTCAGAAACATCCTCATTGTTCAACACAGCAACATGTTGAGAAAACTTTTCCAGTTCATGTCTGTCTGTTCTGTTATTGCAGCAAACTGATGTATTTCCCTTACCAAGCTTAGGAGGTTTCAGCTTAGGGCCACTTAACTAAGTTAACTACCTGTAGCCTGTCTGAAATGGATAAAGCAACCCAAACCAGATTGGCCCATGCAGAAAAAGGAGCATCAGCTGAGACAGAAATAATAAATACAAAGAGAGAAAAATATTTTTAATAAGTTACAAAAATTCAACTTACTTGGTAAGCCTTGCAAATAACCATTTCAGTTTCACATAAGCATCACTATCAGCCAGGCCTGGAACCCTTGGAATTCTAGCACTGTCTGTGTCCTGTTTCCAGCAGCATAGCTTCCAGCAGCAGAGTGCTGCTGTTCTCAATGTAGGGCTGGTATAGCCACGAGGACAAATACACCAGCATCAGATCCTGGTCAGCACAATGAGCAATGTCTCCTACAATTGTTTGCTTGAGTTGCAGTTCCTTCTTGTACATTTCTGAGAGCTTCAGAGAAACCTCGTCTGAAATGGATTGAAAACCCAAACACATTGAGCAGAACATTCCAGTAACTCTCTAAAAATTAAAGTACACTTGTATCATAGAATCATAGAATTTAAGG